TCTCAAAACTCAGAACAGGGAATTGTAAAAATGCTCTGATTATCATTTAAAAAAATGACCATAATAATTCATGCCATGCTGCTAGGGCAAATGAGCAAAGGCATGTGAGATTCAGGTCACGGATTCCCCTTACAGAAGCTGTGCCCCCACGTCCACTGCTTTACGTGAGTGCAGCCTGCTGCATGAACGGAGTCTGAGGGACCCACTCTACATCTAATCACACATCCTCCATGTCAGAGTCCAAAGAGGGAACAAAGCCAGAATCAGGGAATGAATCAAACCAGCTCCCATTTCTGGAACTTTTAAGTTTCACAAAGAAATTGTATCATGACCATCCCTTGAAGGAGAGAATGCAATGAACACGGTCCTTTTTCCGCAGATGAGCAATCAGAAACACTGGCAGGCTAGGAGCTACCTACAGTTGCATAGCCAGGAAAAATGAGACGTAGCATGGAAATCTGGGACCTTTGTCTCTCATCCCAGGGCCTTTTCCAGTGTCAAAGTTGGAGTCAGTTGGGCAGAAACATTTACTCAGCCCAGGTTGAGTACCAAAATACACCTGCACCAAAAATGTTATTATCAAGAGAAACCCAGAGGCCTATAGGAAACAAGTGGAAGGGGGAATGAACATTTATTAAGCCCATACTGTATGCCAGGTGCTGTGCTAAGCATTTTACAAATATGATCTCATTAGATCCCCACCACAACCCTGGGAGGTAGGTGCTATTATTATCACCATTTTACAATGAAGGAAACTAAGGCAGGCAAAGATTAAGTGATTTACCCAGGGTCACAGAGCTGGTAAAAGTCTGAGGCCAGATTTGAATTCAGATCTTCCTGACTGTAAGCTCAGTGCTCTGTGTGCCATGCTAGGTTCCACCTAGATGCCTCTAAAAGAAGACCAAGATTCCCAAAAGATCTCATTCATTTATTCATTCATTTGACAATTTCTAATAACTTAGTATGCTCAGGGGTAAAGGCCCCTCATCCCAAGGAATTTTTCATTTATGGGAGAAAGAGAAGTAGAAAGGATCATGATGTATGGGTGACATAAACATAAAGAAGTGGCAGAAGGGGAGATCCCTTTCATGGGAGTGGCAAGGAGGGCCATCAGGGAAGGATCCAAGGGGAAGATGAAAATTGAAGGAGGTCTTGAAGGAAGAGCAGAATGTGCAGAGAAAGATATGGTGCAAAGGTATGGGAGCTGAGGCCTGGTAGGAATGTAGAGAGCAGGGTATGTACAGGGACCAGGGAGCAATCCACAGTCCATGGGAAAGAGACACTTCTCTTAGGGTGGCATCGTAATTTCTTCACTACAACTCTGCTTATTACCCTGATTTATCTCCACCCCACTCCCCAAGCTCCAAAGCTCCAAGAGGTTTCAATATTTTCCATTCCAAAGGCAAGAAGGAAAGGTGTCAAGGTCCTGACAGAGGAAGAGATGAAGGAGTCAAATGTTTCCTGACGGTTAGCAGAAGGAAAGGTCCACAATTATCCTGGCTATGTGGCCATCAGTGCAGGGTAGAAACATAGCCATTAGGGGACTGACCTCATGTGGAGAAATTGTCCCTGAAGGTGAAAAAAGGCCTAGCTCTATTCTAGCACTGTATTAGTATTCATGAGCTCTGTGTGTCTACACAGTCTAATATGATGAAAGCATGACATTATAGGAGCTTGTGAAAGGGAACCATCTACCTTAGGGAGGTTGGCAAGCCTACCACACATGAGGGTAAATTGAAAAGCTCTATTTTGCCTTCTGCTGCAAGAAAGCTGAGAGAAGCTTGTAATTTAGAGTGGGAAGCCGAGTCAAGCAGGAAAGGAGTAATTCCAATATTGATATAATACAAGCCATCATCAGAGAAGGTAAATCAGTCTGGGGGCTAACACAGCAGACACATTTACTAGGATTGTCTCTCTTCTCTTCTCTCTGTCTCCAGGATAAGGATGAATCAATTAGCCCCCGACATACAGTGACCTTGACAGCAATAGCTCTGAACAGAATATGCTGAGGCAGAGAGAAAAAAGAACGGCAGGGAGAGGAGTGTTCAGAAATCCACTGCCAGCTGCTTTTCTGAGCAATCCTTCACTCTGAACCATGATGCCTGTGACTCACTTCTAGCCAAAAATAGCTCAGTTGAAAGGATATACACCTCTCCTTGATGTAAATAAACAAAGCTTTCTCAGATGCAAAGAGAGGAGGCAAGGAAATGCAGAAAGAGCGACTTTGCTTTTGAGGATGTTCTCAACAGTGAGTAAACAAACATTAACAAGAGCAAGGATTGACTAGCACCTCCTTCCTGAAAAGAAAGCTGGCCCAGCACTGCATCACCCCCCCAAAAAAAAGTGGGATGGTTTTTAAGACCAGCTAACTTTTAGAGACACAATAAAAAGGCAGCAAAGCAACTGTCCACACTGAGAGTGCCGTATCTAGGAGGGCAACTGTCATCAAATCCTTCACCTGGGGAATCTAAGCAACTATTCTGTGGTGCTTGGATTTTTTTAAATAAAGTTTCAGATCAAGTGCCACTTTCCACATTAAGCTTTTTCTGACCCTCCCCCACCCCTAAGCTGTCGGTAAATTCTCCCATAGGGTTGTATGTATTTACTTTGGGGATATAAATGCAAATGTGTGTGTGTGTGTATATGTATACACACACACACACACACACACACACACACACACACACACACACATATATGCATATGTGTGTATACATTCATGAGTGTAAGTTGTTCCCCCAGGCAAATGGGAGCTCCTTGGGGGCAAGGACTCTTCCATTTCCTTCTCTTTGCATCACCACCACTTATCAGAGCATCTAACACATAGTAGGCACATGACTGATGAATAAAATGAATAAATTCTTTCACAGCCATCACTTTCAGCCTCTTGCCCAAACCTAAAATGGGATGATATAACCTCACAGTAGCCCAGCTCTGGACCCAAGGATTATTCTCAGGAGCTAGAAATCTTCTCAATGAATGAGAATGTGATCAAAATCCATCTCCATCCCTTGGAGAAAGGCATAAAACCTGTATGGGAAGTATAATAACTTATGACACTCCATTGGAGGAGATTTGCCTTCAAGAAAAATGTCTTTATCCTTTATTATGTACTTTTTCCATGGTCTTAATCAATAAACCATGTATTTTTTAAAATACCCCAAACTCAACTCAGTACATTTCAGAGGGTCCTTCCAGGGAGCACATGTTTGCCTCCTGGCCTCTAAGCCAGCCTACTCTAGGCAGAAAGGTGCCCTATCTTTTCACTGAAGCATCATATTTCACATGAGACAAAGGAGTAACCTTGCCGCCCATGCGGAACTGTGCCTGCCTTGGGATCTGCACACTCTGCACTGCACGGCTTGTTCCAGGCAAGCCTGTCGCATCTGGTGGCCAGGTGGGAGAGGCTGAGGATGTCGTGATGTCTGTCAGCCCTTTAATGGTGCTCTGGGGATCTGAGGGAGATACAAAGTGGTGTCTGCACAAAAGGACTTGCTTTTCTGATGGTACCTGGAAAACAAGCCTTTCAGTAGGTTTGTCTCTGACCAGAATGGGTGTTGGTGAAGCGAACGTGAGGGAGACTTCACAACAGCCAAACTAAGTTCTCTGTGCTGGTGCCGCTCTGTCTCACACTGAACAAAATCCTCAGGGTATGTGTGTGGGGAGGGGCAGAGTTATTTTATTTTTCTCCCTGATGTTTGGGGTGGGGGAAAGAAGGGTTTCATAGTAACATTTCCCTTTCTTCCTGAAAGGGAAAAAAACAACTCTGAGGGAATATATAAGTACTAGATTTAGGAGATTTTTTTTGTTCTCATTTTTCTCTACTAAATACCTATCCATCCCAAAGAAGGGTGGAGCTCAGAGACAGAAATAAAAGACAAGAGATACATTCAGAAAACTGTTGGAAACTTCTTTTCATGCAAAAGTTTAGGACCAAGTGACTTCACAGGATTTCATCCTTGTCTACCTTTCCTCTGCTGCCAGTGGGCCTACTCAGCAGCTGGACAGCGGCTTTCTGCCTACGTCCAGAGGCTCAGCGCCTTTCAGAGCCTGTTACACTGAACTGGGGCAATCAAGGTACAGACTAAAAGGACACATCTCCAAAAAAACCTAGGTATCCTGCAGGAGGATGGGGCCCAAATGTCTGTCAAGGCAGCTTCTTAAACACTTGATCGCATAAGACTGGCCTAACTGGAGAAAGCACAGACAGAACTATGCAGTACCCTGAATATTCAACAAAAGCACTTCCTAAGCAAAAGCTGCCAAAGTACAGGTGGAGACAGCAAGGAGCCTTAGGCACTGGCTAAGGAACTTGATGAAGTTAACAAGAGGAATTAGCAACAGAACCAAAAGGGCAACAGAGTCAATCCTTGCTAAGATGGGGGGGAAGGGCACATGCTGAATGAAAAAGACAATGAGGGCAGAGGTGATGTTGGCCAGGAATGGGTACCAGGAAGGTGAACAGAAGGTAGAGAGAGGAAATCAGCACCAGGGAAAAAGAAATCAAAAAGCTGCCTGCTCACTGAGCATTCAAGTCCAACTCGGGAATATGGAGCATCTTCTCTGGGATGTAAAAGGAACCCAGTTATCCCACATAACTCAGGAAGTAGTCTTGCCCTCTACTATTCAGTATGTTTCATACCCCACAAAAGGTGCTTAGAGAGCCTCTCCTGGCAAGGTAGGATCTCTGGCCACAGAGGGCTGCTGCTGCTGCTTCATGAAGCCCTCCCAGCATTGTTTCACACAATGTTCTTCATTTTTTTTCCCCAAGAGTTTACAAAATGCTCCCACTAACTCTTTAGCAACAGCCCAGGCATCTTTGTCAACATGAAATGCAATTTAAAATGTAGAGAAAAGGGGAGGGAAAACTATTTGCTTTGAAAATATAATTTCTGTTCCCCTCCCTTCAGCATGCTCTCTCTCTCTCTCTCTCTCTCTCTCTCTCTCTCTCTCTCTCTCTCTCTCTCTCCTCTTCCCCTTCATTTTCATTTCTTACTTACAAACTTTTGTAGCACTTTGGAGATTCGTTTCAGTGGTTGGTGGCTGTGATGCTGTCATAGGTGCTTTTCCCTCAGAGTCCTGGGTGGGTAGAGGAAAGGAGGGTGCAGCAGAAGGCAGCAGAGAGAAGGCTAATGAAGGGTTCTGTGGGGATGGTGGTGCCAAAGGGTCAGAGGGCACTCGGGAACTGCCGCCCTGCACTGTAACACCCTGTACTTGGCCCTTGGCTTCCCGGTGGTCCCCAGGGAAAGAAGGTGAGGGGTAAGCCTCTGAGGAGTCCCAGATGGTAGAGGCAGCAGTAGGATCCACAGCAGTAATAGGGTCCTGGCCTATCCTTCCTGGATCGAGGTGAGTAGGGGTGTCATACTCAAATATTTTGTCCACAAACACCCACTTGAGACCAGCGATGCAGAGGCAAAGGCTGACCAGGCAGGCCAAGATGGGCACAATGCAGATCTTCTCAGAGTTGAGGCAGCCCCGCAGTCGTTCAGCCTCCAGACAGACACAGCAGGGGATGGCCAGGCCCACAATGGCCCCTTCTCCCCCATCCTCAGCCTGGGCCCCTGGCATTGCCTCAGCTGAGGGGAGCCCATCCAGAGATGGATCTGGACTCAGCTCAGAGGAGGGGCTGGGACAACTCTCTGCAGCTCCCTCCGACATGTCTGAAGCTCCCGGCTCTACAGGCTCACTTCCAAGAGGCCTGGACTCTCACCACCAGGCAGGGCCCCCCCCAACAAAATGAGACAGCATCTTAGAGGGGAAAATCAATAGGTTGTCTTTGGCCAAGACCATGATCCAAATCAGGACGAGTTGAGGAGAAAATGACCGGGGGAAAAGAAGAAAAGCAAAAACTCTTCCTGACAACTGGGAAAGGAAAGTGATTAAGCAATTATCCAGTGTCTGCTCCTGGGCCACTTTTCTAGTTTCCGTAAATACCTCTGAGCATCCTGGCTCTGCTCTGAAACAGGGCGAAGAGGAAATCAAGGGGAAAAAAAGAGAAAGCAAAGCAAAACACCAGCCAGGCGCTGGTCAATTAAGTAAACCAGTAGCCCAGTGCAAAAGACAGGGCTCTCACCTGGACCATCTGAGGCTGGGGTCTGCTGAGCGGAGGAAAACAACTGGCATTCAGGAAGAGCAAAAGGCAAAACCCTGAGAGCAGGAGCAGCCGCAGGGGCAGGAGAGGCGGCAGCGGCAGAGGCAGAGGCAGCGGCGGCGGCAGCGAGGGGAGCGGCAGCTCAGGCAGTGGTAACAGCATCCTGGTCTGTTTCAGCAGCGGCGGCAGCGGACAGCGGCTGCAAGGGGCTGAATCATTAGCGAGCAGCAGGTGCCTGCTCTACGCGCATCCCTGCAAACAGCGGCATCGTAGAGCTAGGCTAAAGGAGGAGGGCTGGGGCCAGGAGGGCTGGGTGCCTCCCTGCCCCGCCCCCCACCCGCCGCGCGCACACACTCCTCTTTGTCCTTCTGGAGGGAGGCAGGAGTACATAGGCACTTTCCGTCTCTCCAGCTCCTTCCTTCTTCACAGTCCCTTTCTCCTGGTCATCTACACTCTCAGTGCCCTTCTATCTGCTCCCTCCTCTCCTCTCTTCCATCCACCACTCCTTCTCTCTCTCTTTCTCTGTCTCTTTCTCTGTCTCTCTCTCTTCTCTCTCTCTCGTTCTCTCTCTCTCTCTCTCTCTCTCTCTCTCTCTCTCTCTCTCTCTCTCTCTCTCTCTCGTTCTCTCTCTCTCTCTCCTCTCCTGAGTTCAGTTAAATCAGTATACCCAGCAACACAGGACTACCAGTGCCAGTGACTTCCTATTTTATCCAATTAGAAGGAATCAAGGCCATGGAATCAAAGACGAGCAGGCAGGCAGTAGTTCTGCTCAGTCTCCATCCCTCCCCCACTCCCTTTCTCCTTTTTACTCTCCTCCTTTCCCTCTAGTACCCCTTTCCAAGCTCCCACCACAACCTTGCTTCCCCTCAGGCATATTAGTTCTTTTCCTTTGAGCCAAGGTTAGGTCAGGAAAAGGCAGCAATCAATGTCCTCCATCTAACAAAGCTGGGTTGGGAGGGGATGTAGGTGGGACCTCATGGGCTGAAGCAAAGGCTTAGCAAAGTCTGATATTTGATCCATCCCTAGAGAGGGAAGCTTTGCAGTAGCAACTTCTTCCTGCCTGCTGCCTGCAGATTCTGCTCCTTCTTAGCACTCTAATAAGGTTCATTCAGGGAGAACTCTAGGTGTTACTTGACTTTCTTCTGGCCATTAGAAAAATGCTACCATGGACAGTCCCACAATCATACTATTAAGAATACGAATAGTTTAGAAAACACCTTTAATTTGTTTTGCATGGATTTCGAAATAAAATGCTTTTATGGAGTAAAAGTAGTCTACCCAGAGGACCTCAGTCTAGTTCCCTGAAATGGCCCCATCTCTTTGAGCCCTCACTATGAACCTCCTCCTCCAGAATGCCCTCACTTTAATAATAGTCAGACAGTAAGTCAGTGAGTTAGGGAGCTAACACTACCAATTCTTGACCTGTAATATTCCAAAGGGGCCTGATTTCTCAGGCTTATATACCATCCATTCCTATCACCAACAGAATGTTCAAGTACCTACAATAAGAAACATATTCCATATGTATATGAATAAACTCTATGGAGCTCCCTTTCTTCTCTTTTGTTTTATTTATCTACATTTACTTTTTTTTATTAGGCAATTGGGGTTAAGTGACTTGCCCAGGGTCACACAGCTAGTATGTGTCAAATGTTTGGTCTGAGGCTGGATTTGAACTCAGGTACTCCTGACTTCAGGGCTGGTGCTCTATCCTCGGTGCCACCTAGCTGCCCCCATGTACTTTTTTTCCAAAGTAGCAGCTGTTCCAGCACTCAAAGAGATAAAAAGTCTGTGATAGAGATCCCAGACAAGAGTGGCAAAACTGCCACTTAATCTACTGACTTCTTCACCAGGACGCTTCAGTGGATTCCTAGGAACTCTTTAATCTACCTCTGCTAATAGGAGACTAAAAAACACACTTCCTGAGCTCATGCTATTTTATCATTGAGCACATCCTGGGAGCACCAGTTTTTCCTTTGAAAACTGACATTGATGCAGTGAATTACAACTGTTTCTGTGCTCTGTACATCTTGAGAACTCCTAAATATTTAAAAAATTCTAAACAGGCACAAAATCATTCTGATGCCATTTTTTCAAGATGTATTTATTCCACAATTATAAATGATTCAAAGTATGCTAATCACCAAGTGATGGTGGCAGTCCTGTAACTTCCAACATGTCAGAGCCAATTGGCCTGACTGAGTCAAAGCTCCAAAAAAGAGAATTATGCCTAGATCCCCCTCAACAAATCCTGAAGCAGTAAGATGAGAGCTGCAAGCATCCTAAAGTCATTTGTTTCCATTATTATATTTTGATTTAGAACACCTCCTGATAAATGCATATTCCGAGGATCTGTGCTTTTTGGTAAGTAAGCTAAACCCCTCCACTGATGTAGAGCATAACCTGCCTGTGGGTCAGTGCATAAAGCCTAAAGAGTTGCCCCACACTCATAAAAGTTGAATAACTTACCCAGGGGTTAAACAGCTAGGGTACTTCAGGGGTAGAATTTGAACTCAAGTGATTCTAGCTCCAAACTAGACAATCTCTCAACTAAACTAAGTTGAGGCCAATTAGATAGCACAGTGGATGCAGCTCTGAGCCTGGAGTCAAGATGACAAGTTCAAATCTTGCCACAAACATTTACTAGCTGTGTGACCCCAGGCAAGTCATTTAACCTCTATCTGCCTCAGTTTCTTTAACAGTAAGATGGGTAATAGCACCTCCCAAGGTTGCTGTGATGATCAAAAGGAGATAATATTTGTAAAGTGCTTAGCATAGTTAAGTACCCAGAGCATAGTAAGTGCCATATAAATGCTGCCTATTACGATGATTATTAAACAGCTTGGTCTCCCTCTCCATAAATCTTGTATTCAAGGATATAAGTGAGTACATATGTTGCCAATATATTTAATAAAGAATATGAAAATCCATGTTCATCAAAACCTGTCAGTTCCTTTAGAGGTTTTGAACTCAGTGTTGAAGGCTTAGAATCACTGAAGAGTTAGGGAAATAATCAGGCTTTCAAATAATTATAATAGTAATCACAACTTGTCCTTGACTATCGTTGACACTGTTCAGTCATGTCCAACTCTCTGTGACCATATCTGGGGTTTTCTTGGCAAAGGTACTGGAGTGGTTTGCCATGTTATTCTACAGTTAATTTTGCAGGTGAGAAAACTGAGGCAAACAGGTTAAGTGATTTTCCCAGGGTCATACAGCTATTAAGTGTTTGGGGCTGGATTTGAACTCAGATCTTCCTTTCTCCAGGCCCAGAGCTCTATCCACTAGGCCACTTAGATAATCTCTAGATTATCCATTTTACATAGAATACTCCCTTCTCTTCCCCTTACTTTCAGATCCAACAATAGGAATGTTTGAAACACGTTTTGTTCATTTCCTCCATTGTTAAAATCTCAGGATCTTGCTCTCCTCCTTGGTGAAATGATGGAAATATACTAAAAGTCTTCCAAAGGGCCTTCCAGTTTTATGTTCTATGAGCCAACAATATGACTGGAGTAAGTTTTAGATAGACTTCTGCTATTATAAATGATAATAAATGACATTCTGTGTTGCTTTATGTTTTTCAGAACATTTTGTATACACTAACTCATTTCCTTCTTTTACAGACCCAATGAGAGAGTCACTGCTGGCATTTCCATCTGCCACTCATGTCCAGTTTATCATCTACACAACTTGCCTGTACATGGTCATGTGAATCTTCCCTCCTCCATGACTGTGGCCTCCTCAAGAGCTGGCCCAGTCTTTCCCCTTTCTTTGTTGCCCCATCATTTAGCACCACCAGGCATAAAATAGGCACTTAAGGAATGCTTGTTGACTGACCAGCCCCTGGCCATACAATGAGCACACCTCACGGGCAGGACTAGAACCTCTCTCTTTTGACATCAAGCCCAGAAATCTTTGTGCTAGGCCAACTACGTATGCACAAGAAACCAGCAGTAATGAACCGAATTTGAAAGAATGTTAAGCATGTGCTACTTCTCCATGAGCAGCTAGCATCCACCCTCAAGATATTCACTAGTACTTACAGTACTGAGTATATTCTAGAGATAAGAAGCTGTACTGGGTCTATTTCTGATCTCATATTAAAAATTCTCTGCTCTTATCAAGGAAATTGAGACAGTGTCCAAAGACATCTCAGAGGAGGCTCTTTTGAGGAAAAGCAAGGCAAGATTTGAACTCAGGGCTTCTTGACTAAAAGTCTAAGAAGATATTTACTGTGCCTCTCTACAAGCTATGTGTGTGTTTTTCTAAAATAAATCAAATGATGAGAACAAGGAACTATTTGTTCTTGCCATCTGTTTAACTAACCTCAGAGTTAAGTAAAAATGTTGGGCGATTGGATCTTTTTTGTCATAGCACCATAATAGAAGAGGGAGACAGAGGTGAGCCTTCTCTAATGTAGTTTGTAAGTAGCCCTAAATGTTCCTTGGCTTTCAAAAGAAGAGCGTTAAAAGATTGAGCTAATAATTCTCAAAAGTTACGGATATTGATCAGAAGGCACTCACTTTTAGCCTCTCAACACGTGGCTCAAATTGTCATCTCCAAATCTAAGTACCAGAAAGGACTTTCTTCAAATCCAATCCAACCCAAGGAATACTAATTAAACACCTGCTGTAGGCGTGTAACTGTGCTGCGATCACTGGGAAGTCAAAGGGAAAATGAAAACAGTCCCTACCTTCCACCAATTACAAAGGAGGTTATGGGGAGCAGAAAGGGCACTAGGCCTTGTTTCAGAGCATGTGGATTCAAATCCTGATTCTAATCACTGTGACTCCAGGCATGTCCCTTCTCTTCCAAAAGGAAGGGATAGGTCTGGATGACTTTAGAGGCCCTAGCCAGATAGAAAGTGAAAAGCACATAAGCACACAGACCTCTAGGTAGTAAGGAGACAAAGAACTGCTGCTTGGGATACACATGGTTGGAATCTACCTAGGATGTAACATGTGGGAGATCTCAACAGGGAGTTTGTTTGTTTGTTTTTAAATGTCATTTTTGAGAAATGAACATTCTTTTCCTTTCTTGATGTCTTTGTTTTTGCAAAACATTCATCTGCCACCAGCTGCACTGTTTGGATTCAATCTTCCCCCTCTTCCCCTCCTCAGGAAAAGTTCACCACTAAGAGACACCGCCACGCAGATTGGCTCAGCCTTGGTACTCACCTCTCGTCAGCAGCCCTCAATAGGTTTAGCCCCTCTAATTGAAGGGATGGAGGAAGGGGGGAGCAAAAACTCCCTCCCAAAGCCCTCAGTTAAAGAGGGCT